GCTTTAATAATCAAAGTGTTATAGACTACTTGAAGGATGAAAATATAGAACTACACAGAACAAGAGGACACCCAGCATTCGCCGAAAGGGCGATAAGAACACTTAAGGATATGCTTTACAAGAGGGTTGAAAATGATGAGAAAAAGGGTAAACAAAACATTCAATGGGGTGACTATTTACATGAGATTTTATTAACATACAACAATGCTATGAAACACTCCTCCCATGGTTTGGAACCCATAGAAGCCCGTAAGAAGAAGAATGAGCTAAATGTTAAACTGAAGTTGTCCATGAACGCTAAAAAGAATCGCATCTATCCTGAACTGGATGTTGGAGACACTGTTAAAATACTGAGGAAACGAAAACCCAATGAAAAAGAGAGAGTCGGCAATTTCACACAAAACCGCTACACCATAGAAAAAATTGATAAGAAACTGGGGCAACAGTATTTTTATGTAGAGGGGAACGAAAGGGCATACTTAAGGCACGAGTTGTTAAAAGTTTAATACAATAATATTTAAAATATTGTATTAATCATTTTTATGTTTATTTTTTATTTTTATTTTTTATTTTTTATGTTTTATTTTTACTTGTTTTCTCTTGTTGGGTCAGCGGAAAGGCGGTAGCCAATAAACCCTACAACCCAAAAACTAAAGCCCTATAACCCTAAGTAGTTGGAATGCCCAGCGCTCCAGTTCTGTGATGGTTGTTCGCTCAGCTCTTCAGAGCCAATCCTTTTCCCGAAGAGGGAACAAATCCAGTTTAGGGTTTAGGGCTTAGGGCTTAAGGGTTTAGGGGTTGTAGAACACGAAGTGCTCGTGCTCACTCTGTGAGCGCGAACCCTAAAGCCCCCTAACAACCCTACAACCCTAACCTAAAAGTCTGCAAGACACAGCGCTCCAGTTCTGAGATGGTTGTTTGGCTCTCAGAGCCAATCCTTTTCCCGAAGAAGCCTTCAAAGGCGAAACCCCTAACAACCCTAAACCTAAAAACCCTAAAAGGGACGAACCTTCACGAAGTCACCGAGGTCAAAGTCCGCCTGGAAGTCGTTCACCTGTTACGCGCGGTTTAGGATTTATTCTTAGGAGGGTTGGGGGTAGGGTTGCAGAATAGCGGGTGCAAAGATTTTTCACCACTCTGGGCTTGAGTTTCTGATGCCTCGGTCGTTGTTGAGACATAACGTTTGTTGGAACTGCAAGGATTTAAACAGCATCCACAATGTTCGCATTTGCACTGTACTGCTTGGCATCAAAGAAGCCTCGTCCGACGAAGCTCTCTGAGCTCTCTGTGCTACAAAGGAACATGGGACAACCATCAAAACCTGCACTCATACAGTCGCGAATTGTGGGAGCTACAGAAGCCCCCTACCTGAAAAACATTTCAAAACAAGCACGGAATTCAGCCCTAGACTGTAAATTAGTGTCCTCATCAAACACTTCGTAACGGGAAATGTTACGAGGACCGGTGTAGTTGCCGATGTACCCTTGCGGGAAGGTGCGGAACAGCATCTTTGAGTCTAAGTCTAAGCCATCCTCAGTCAGCATGTCATCCCACTCATCCCAAACTTGCTCTTCAAGCTGACTAAGATTCAAATCCAAAAACTCGCGGTCTTCGTCAATCGCGAAATTGAGCTGGAGAGCCAAAAGCTCTTTGGTGCTTTCGCGCCACCACAGAACTTGAATCGGAAAGCCAAGAGCCGAATGAACTCGCTTCAAGCAGTAGGCGGTGAAATCTTCAATGATGACGTGCTCCACGAACTCGTCATACATGAGAGCCTTCTTCACCACCTTTACGTCAGCCTTCGTGAAGAAGGAGGGCGTGGGAGGAATTCTGTGGAAGTCTCTGTAGTACAGCTCCTCAATCATGTCCGCGGTGACGCCGAAGACCACATCCGATTGAAAGCCACCCTCAACGATGTTGTGCATGGCTACCCTGAGGGCTTGGTTCTCGGCTTGGAGCTTGAGGATGGCGTCGGTCTCGCGCTCCTGACGATTTTGGACGTAGAGCTTCCACGCCTTGAAGAACAAGCCGAAGCCGGTAGAAGGGGAGCCTGAAGCCATGAATCTCAAAGAAGCCGAGGGAGGTCTAGGGCTGGAAACCTACAGGCAAAATGCCACGAATTCACCAAAACGGCTTCAGATGTAGCTCACGCGTGGCTTCTCAACTGCACAAGCTGGTTTGAGGTTTAGGGCAGGAAAGCACACGCGCTCACCAGCGATGTTTGTCACTACTCTTGTTCTGGCTTTCTTGGTTTGTCGTAGCCCCTTAACTGTACAAACGGGCTGTTGAGGAGAGTTCCATGTACAAGCGCTGGTGGGCTAGTCCAGCCGTCTGTATGAGCCATATAATCTTAATAATTAATAGTTTGCAAGGGCAAACACTTACATCTGCACAAAACTTGCACAGGGTCTGCACACTGCACTGCCGGAACTCAAGCGCTCACGGCATCATCGCCACAGGAGCTTCGGCTGGGGCTGTAGAAGAAGATGCCTGATGGGCTAAACCCTAGGGGGTTTGAAACCTAACCCTAGGGGGTTTGAAAGCTAACCCTAGGGGGTTTGAAAGCTAACCCTAGGGGGTTTGAAAGCTAACCCTAGGGGGTTTGAAAGCTAACCCTAGGGGGTTTGAGACATCCTGCCTGTGCCAAAGACTGCCCAATCTTCACGTCTCTTACGCTCCTAATCAGGTCCTTGAGTTCCCTGACATCTTTGAAATCGCACTTCTCATACAAGTACTGGAAGGCAACGCGCGATGTGCTCCAAATCACCTCCAACTCCGCATAGAGCTTGTGGAAGGAGTTGCCATTCGGACCGAACAAGGAGTGAGAAGCGATGGCAACCTTCTTGTCTGTCTCACCAGCCTCGTCCAACTTGTCAAAGGCTTTCTGGAGATTGTCCACGCAGTTGTACTCTAGGAGGTGCTTCATGGTCTCACGAGGATTGCTGTCTGCTCCACTAATCACATTCCGAGTGTCGTTTTTGACACCGAGGCAATACGGAATGGCATCAGCAGTCACAGTTGAAGACTTCAGACCCTCACTGACAGCCAAGAGTTTGCTTTCAACCTTCTTCTCCTTCTGCTTCTGCTTGGTGGCATCGTTTCTGACACCCTTTTTGCCACCACCTCTAAGCCTCAAGATCATCCGAACCACCAGCTTCCGCTCGGTCGGGTAGTTCAAGAAGTCGGCGATGTACTCGTCGCTCTGCATCACAACGCCGTTGTGGACAAGGTTGAAGTCCGAAACGGTCAGAGATGGCTGACTGGAAGGCACAAGGTTTCGCACCTCTTCCGTAATCATCTCCTTCAGGTTGTCTACGGTCTTCCAAAGGCTCCCGATGCGCTTGAGATGAAGACGAGGGCGATTGTGGTTGTCCCTGACCTCAACGAAGGCGCCGTCATCATCCTCAGGAGTGTCCTCATCATCGCTGTAAAGGTCAGAGCCGTCCTCCAAGTAGGACAACGGTAGGAAGCAAGAGAGACTCGGTGTGTCTGAACCTGCATCGCTTTCGGTGCCCTCGTTCTCAGCAGAAGATTCTGCATCGCTTTCGGTGTCCTCGTTCTCGGCAGAAGCCTCTGCATCCTTGAAACCAAGACGCACCACAACATAGCCACCATCAACCAAGACTGTCCGTGGGTTGAGGGGGTAGGTTCTGGAGTTCGGAAACGGGAAGCTCTCGCACCAAAGAAAGGACACCTGCCACTCAAAATCGCTGAAGTTGATGAGGAAAAAGTCGTCCCTCATCAGGCGCTGGTAAATCTCATCTGCCACGACCAAGGGTCGCGCATTGGTAGAGACACGGAGCACCCACTGACCATCACTCACCATAGTCCCTTCTGGACGACGAGAGTCGCAAACTGCATACCTGATGCAGATGTTGCCCTCGTTGATGTCAGGAAGCGACGAAGGAGTAGTCTCACCACTTGCGAGGCTCTCCAAGAAAGCGCGTGGAGAGCTACAAGAGCTGGAAGAGCTGGAGGGAGCCATCTCTGAAGCTGACGAGGGTAGGTATGTCAAGACAAAATGCCTTCAACTTGTTTGAAGCAAAATGCTTCTGATAAGCAAACAAGTCGCTCATGCTTTGTCTCAACTGATGCAAGAACGCACAATGTGACAACAACGCTCAAGCAACAGAAAAGCTACCTTTTCACTGGCTTTCGTGTTCTCTCCAAAGGTTTGTGGTAGCCCTTGGCTGTACTAAAAGGGCTTTTTTCTGTACGAGGTTTTGGTCGCAAGGCAAACACTACATCTGCACAGGGTAGGTCAGCACTTGCACAAAAGGGTCAGCACTGCTCGGCTCAATACACCAGCATCTTCTCTGGTTTGCTCTCAATCAAGTATTCGTAGAGGAGAGAGCCGGTCGCTAGGCAGTATTTGACGCGACGAAGAGTGTGCCGCAGAGACTTATCGTATCTGTCGGAAGGTTCCCACTTCTTTAGCTTTCGCATCCTGCTCTTTCTCTTGTAGTGTGCCTTCGTAATCTTCAAATGAACGTCGTCGCAGAACTTGTCGTGTAGCTCTTCTGGTGTGCCACTCCGAACCTTGTAGTTCTGCTCGTAACCCATTGCTCAAAGGCTCACAAGTGGCAAAATGCTTTGGTGCTGAAACCCAAATGGCTTCAACAAACTTTCAAACTTGCTCTTGGCTGATGCATTTAATGCACGACGTGACTGCAGAGCACTTGCAGAGCTCCAAAGATTAAACTTGTCTGGCGCACCTCTTCGTAGAGGTAGCCGAGGATGAAGTGCCCCAGCAGGGCAGATGCTTCAGGCTTTCCCACCCCCAAGCCCTGAAACCCTAAATTTACCATAAATTCTATCAACCTGGCCACGCCTGTTGGGAAGATGGTTTTTAGAACTCCCTATTTGATTAGGCTTATTTGTTATAGGTGTAAAAGCGTAGGGGGGGGTATGGGTTTTGGGACCATCTTACCGACAGGCGTCCCCTGTGCTAACTAAAAAAGGGGGTAACCTGAACAAAAGGTGGTTTCTGGGCTACCAAGGAGAACAAGCGCTTGGTCCTGGTGGACGGCTCGAAGCTCACCGGTGCTAAGGTGACCCCATTGGTGGGAGCCGCACGCGAGTACGCCTTCAGGCTGCAGTGCTACAACCAAGATGAGCATCTTGGTAGCCCTAGTGGGCACCTTGGGATTTTCCCTCTTGTACTCACAGTCCTTAACAAACTCCAGGCCAATCTCAGCTCCGGCCAGCGCAAAGCCCTTTGCCCGTTACTTCTTCACAACCCCTAAAACCCTAACACCCTAAAGCCCATAGTCTGGTTGCTGGGCTACCAAGGCATGAGAAGGATGTGAACATTGGCTTCTCTGCGGAGTCACCCGAAGAGTACACGAAATGGACGGGACTCCTTTTGCACACCGCCAACATGGACGGTGCCATCCAGACGATGCGCCTGGGTGGGGATGTGGCCGCCGAGATCAAGCAGTTCAGGCTGAATGTCAAGAATCGCCGCATGAAGGTCGGCGAGGACAAGAAACTAGGTAGGCCCCAATTGGAATTGATTTTGCATTGTCCCTTCTTGGGTTTGTAACAGGATGCTATTTTAGGATTCCGATCTTTCCAGAGGGTTTTGGCTTACCTGAAACCCGAAGCCCTAAACCCGAAACCCTAAACCCTAAACCGAGGAAAGACCAGTTTGCTCCGGTCTTCAAGGCCAAGTTGTGGAAGGTGAAGGCCGAGGGCGACCGGCGGAAGGAGGATCTCAGGGTTTGGGGTTTAGGGTTTAGGGTTTAGCGTTTAGGGTTTAGGGCCCTAATGTGGTCCCCTACCACCTAGAAAGGCTTCTGATGTATGGGCCCTTGCGTTGCAGAGGGTCTATACCGGGTATGTAAGGGGTCCCATTTACGGGCCCATACCCTGAGAGGAAGACTGGTTCGAGCGCGAGATGTGGATCGCCAAGAACGGCAGCCTCGTCTCTTAGGGGGCACTCAAGAAACATTCTCAATTTTTGGCTACGGTAACCCCTAAGGAACAGCTAAAGCTATATGCTTCTCAAGCGGAATTAGGTTAAGGGTTTTGGGTTTAAACTTTTGTGTTTTAATGTTTGGGTTTAGGGTTTGGGGTGTAGGGTTTAGGGGCTAAAATGGGCACCAAGTTCAGTACAGTAAAGGTCTACTGGAGCAAGAAGGAGGACCGTGACCTGGTCTACTACACCTCCGAGGACATCGCCCGCGCGACGATCACCTTGATCCCCAACGATGACAGCTTCTTGGCAGCCCAGTGGTACCCGTTACCCTTGTTTTTTCGGTTATGTAAACCCTAAACCCTAAACCCGAAACCCTAAACCCTAAACCCTAAACCCTAAACCCTAAACCCTAAACCCTAAACCCTAAACCCTAAACCCTAAACCCTAACCCAAAAAAATGGTTCATTATAATATGGTTACTGGGCTACCAAGGCTTCATCCCCTGGGCTTTCCAGGTCCACCTACCCCCAATTGGAGCCTAGGTATGCCCTTGGCATATGTTTTTTTCGTCTATTTTGGGTTGAAGAGGATATCACATTAAGGAACATTTTTCAGCCTAAACCCTTGAAACCCTAAACCCTTAAACCCTAAACCCTGGAAGCCCTAAACCCTTAACCCTTAATGGCCATCCGAGGAGAGGTGCAGTTCACGCCCGGGGAGTTTGCCGCCGAGTCCGAGGCGATGAGGGACTCTTCGGCCTACTTGGGAATATGTTTTTTTCCGGGTACTCTAATTCCTAAACCCTAACCCTAAACCCTAAACCCTAACCCTAAACCCTAAACCCTAAACCCTAAACCCTAAACCCTACCAAGTTCAGTGAAGGACTGTTGGATCGAGGAGCTGAAGGAGCGCGTGGCCGAGCCCCGGTGAGTGCGCCTTTCAAAAAAAAGAGAAGGAGTTTAGGGTTTAGGGTTTAGGGTTTAGGGTTTAGGGTTTAGGGTTTAGGGTTTAGGGGAACTCCTTGAGGACCAGATGAACCCGAAGATTGGGAGATCCCACACCCTCTACACGAATCCCTAATGGGGTATTGTGAGCCCTAAACCCTAAAGCCTAAACCCTAAACCCTTGTAGGGTTCATTTGGTCCCCCAAAAGTCGGGGGAACTCTGAGAACTGAGAGCGTTCCAGAGAGCTCCTGTGCACATGGTCAGTGGCTTTGGTCAGTGAGGACGCGTGAGATGAAGGGGGGGTGCGATAAGTCTCCGCGCCCGCCCCTAAACCCTAAACCCTAAACCCTAAACCCTAAACCCTAACCCTAAACCCTAAACCCTAAACCCCATCATGAAGTGCGCATGTCCTCCTTAATCCTTAAGACATCGGAAGGCAGCAAAAGAACCTGTCCCCGAACGACACGTTTCACAATGAGGGTGTCTAGCGACATCCAGCAGTGCTTCTCCGGCAGATGTTGTTGCTTGTTTCCTTTGTGGTACTTTTACTGTAACTGTAGATCCTTACCTTTTTTGGGTTTATTGGGTTTCTTATTAAGGCAGCCAAAAGTTTAATTTATAGCTACCCTCCTGAGTGCAGCCAAGTTTCCGTTGTTGATTTTCATCTACTATTACTACATTGTTACCTGTATAGTGTTCATCATTAACCTTGTTACTCTTGCTCTTTTATGCAGTCGTTACATTCGCCTAAACCCTAAACCCTAAACCCTAAACCCTAAACCCTAAACCCTAAACCCTAAACCCTAAACCCTACAGGGTAGCAGGACAGGACTCTTCTCAATATCGAAAGCCGGAGTCGAGTAGGTTTTGTTTGCACACACGGGAGGCTATGCCTGAGTACGTCCTTGCCAGAAAGCTCGCCAGCAAAAAAGGGGTTAGGGTTTATAGGATGTATAGGATTTATAGGGTGTATAGGGTTTGTGGGGTTGATAGGCTGTATAGGGTTTAGTGTTTTTTGGGCACGCTGTTCTTGCATGCAGCGAGTTGCTTGCGCTAGTGAGAAACCTTGAGCAGCCGGACGGGCTTGCGCTTTACCCTGAGCAGCCATGGCTCGTCAGCCCTTGGGGGACTGAAGCATGGCAACACCCTAAAACCTAAACCTTAAACCCTAAACCCTAAACTCTCTGCGGAGTGGTTCGTCCAGCTATGCGGGTGCCAAAAAAACTCTAAACCCTAGACCCTGAACCCTGAACCCTAAACCCTGAACCCAGCGAGCTCGGCGAAAGCATTAGCCATGGTGCGCACCGGATTCAGTGGTGATCACTGGAGGTGGGCACGACCCCCCCGAAAGTCGTTGACACCGAATTTGCACTATGTTGGCGGCATTGTAAACCTCCCCCCCAGCCTATAACACAATAGAACATGTTCCCTATAAAGCACTTGGAATACACCATGGTAGGTATATTAACACATGAGAGGGCTGGAGGGGGAGAGGGGGGAGGGTATAATACTCAAATCTCACGAATTGTCTCGATTTCACAAGCTGAACACGTCACCTCTTAGGGTTTAGGGTCTTAACCCTAACCTCTAAACCCCTAAACCCCTAAACCCCTAAACCCCTAAACCCCTAAACCCCTAAACCCCTAAAACCCTAAACCCTTAGGAGGGTAGACACGCCACTTCCCTGCAGGACATGCACACTCTTTTGCCTCGAGCTCTTGCGACATCGAATCTCATCGACTCTGAGCTTTGGGGCCGTGTTGTTGTTGGAGCTTTGTGTAGCTGACTGGAGTCCATCGGCTGAGTAGTTCAGGGTTTAGGGTTTAGGGTTTAGGGTTTAGGGTTTAGGGTTTAGGGTTTAGGGTTTAGGGTTTAGGGTTTAGGGTTTAGGGCGGGTTTAGGGTTTGCGGACTTTTGTGTACAAAGACTTCTCCGACTTGATGCAGATACCCACGAATTTGATTCTGAAATCGATGATGGCTGATGGCAAAAAGTATGATGGGCCGCCACCCCCCCCCCCCCCCACCAAGCTGCACATCTGCTTGTCGTTTGCCTGTACCCTAAACCCTAAACCCTAAACCCTAAACCACAGGCCCGAAACCCCCACTGATGCCAGGCATCAGCTCCCGTTCAACTTCTATGCCGAGCTCATCCGGACTGGTGATGCCCATGGGCTTGGGGGTCAGGAGTTCTGCAACCTTGTGCCGCTTTAGGGGTTCGGGGATAGGGTCTAGAGTTTTGGGTTTAGGGCTTTTGGGGCTTCAGGTTGTGAGCTGATGGAGTCTGGTTTGTGAGGCTTGCGACTTGGTCTTACGAAGCCGAGCCATGAGAGGACCGGCTTGTGACGTCAACGACCTCCGAGGAGCCATGGCTTCGAACGCTGCCATGCCCTTAGATTTCGGGTGGTGAGTATCTTGGAACTGCTGCCTCAAGTTTGTTAGTATGTGCACAGAAATGTGTAGAAACCTAGGTAAATTAAGTTGAAGATATATGTGCGTATATTTATATATATATATAGGTAAAAGTGTTTTTTGCTTGTTGGCTCTTGCTGTCTCTTTTTTGGCTGCACGCTCTCAGTTTGTTGGGCTTACAACGACATGCGGGAACACATCCGGTTTAGGGTTTAGGGTTTAGGGTTTAGGGCCTGTCGAGGCCAATCACTACCACCTTTGCAGCTGCGCTGACGGAAGAGCCCGCAATCGACGCTTGGAAGGGCCCTAAACCCTAAACCTAAACCCTAAACCCTAAACCGCGACATCTGCTGCGTAGAAGCAGGGTACTCTCAACAGATCTCAAGATGCCTGATGTCTCCCTTCTCGTTCTGCTGGGTTACGGGACTTTGCTGTCGGAGGTTGTTCGAAGCACGTCCCAACTTTGTTAAGGCGTGCACCAGTGCCCTAAAGACCCACGATGTCTTGGCGCTCAGGAAGCGACCACAAGCTTGCAAGCTTCGAGCACGCAGGTCCCAGCAGATGTTCCTCGGACTCATTGGACCTTCTAAGGGTTTAGGGCCAGGGTTTAGGATCTAGGATTATAGGAAAATTAGGAGAATGGCGGAGAGCGAAGAGGCTTAAGGTATCGTGTGCACGGTATGGTGTGCCACCCTAGATTTGGATGAAACTCATTGGGATGTTCCCCCTTATGCTAACAGTCCTGAATAGGGAGTATAGTACCTCCGATTATCATCCCTATCAAGAGGGAACATGCCAAGAAACCCAGTTTGCTGCATGGAATCAGCATGTCTTGACTCTGGAGGCCGGCATCATCTACCTGGGCGATGTGCAATGTGCGCCTTGCCTCTACCTGGGGGACTCTGCTTTCCTACAGTTCATCATCCGTTTGACTCGCCTTCTTCTGCCGACAGGAGATGCAATGAAGCCAACACCCGACAGTAGGCCCTACAGTACCCTAAGCCGACATGAAGCAGGGTTTATACTACTGTAATTGGTGAGTGTATATCAGGTTCCCTTTTATTTTTGGTGAGTGTATATACCTGGTGTCCCTTTGGGGGTATAAGAAATATATACCCTACTTCACATGTAAAACCGGCCTAGGACAACCCATATCTCGTCGAGCGCGAGCTGCAGTGGTGGGAAGAACCGGTTCTGCTTGCCCAAGGCAGGAACTTGCGCCTGTAGGCCTAGGGTTTAGGGTTTAGGGTTTAGGGTTTAGGGTTTAGGGACGAGGGACCCTCGTCCGTGCTGTTCGGCAGGTTTTTGGCAACCCAGCCGTCCAGACACACGGTGCAACAGCACAACGATGATTCACAAAGCAGGAACAGAAGCTTTTGCTTAGTAGCTGAGTGAGTACACGGTACAATTTTTGGGATACCATAACCCCCTATAAAACTGAAAGTTTACACTTTTAGGGGGCTTATGAACTCAGCAACCAAATTCGCATTCTGTTGCGCCTAAACACTAAACCCTAAACCCTAAACCCTGAACACTAAACCCTAAACCCTAAACCCTGTTGCGCCTTCTGTTGTGGCAGTTGGTGGCGGTCTGGGAGGCTGCTGCCTGGCCTCTGCTCCCCGGCCCAAAAATGCAGGAACATGGCTCCAAGAGTCCGTTAGGGTTTAGGGTTTAGGGTTTAGGGTTTAGGGTTTGGGGTTTAGGGTTTAGGGTTTGGGGTTTGGGGTTTGCTGTGATAGGGCGTAGATGCTGTGAAGGTTAGGTTTCGGAACAAGCTCGAAAGCTTCGTGAGGTGCAAAAAGCAGCATTGGCCCGATTGTGGAGGGCCATCTAACACTTTTCTCCCACCCCACGCCGTCCAAGGCGGCAAAGCCACCCAAACCTATTCCTTTTAGGGTTTAGGCCTAAACTCAGACAACAGCCCACTTCTAAAAAAAAAAACAGAGGCAGTTTCAGGGAGTGTTGCAGCAAGTTTCAGAGGGGCGGGCTCGGCCACGGCCAGGCACACAGTCAGGGATCAGCCGAGACCCAGACAGGCCACAGGGGCCAGAGGTCAGGGGGGCCAAGGCGCCAGGACGCAGCAGGCAGGGACCCAGAAAAGGCACAAAAAAACACTTTTTCAGCACCCACCCTGCCTGGACCAGCTTGAGACCCCCTGGTCCCTGGACACGCAGCGGCGAGAGGGTCCGGGTCCTCCTGCCCTGCCCTGGGGGTACCCCCTCGAGAATGCCAGCCACCTTCTGGCACAAATCCTTGGATTGGAGTTTAGGGTAATTACTTTTTTTCTCAGGGACCAGTACTGGTCCCGAGGAGAACGTGTTCCGGTACCGGGCCCATCGTGGGCGCTACCGACCCCCATGCTGTGGGAGGCGGGCGAGCGACCTGGGTCGGCTTGTGCCATCCAGGTCAAAGGGCTTAAGCGCCGCCCCCCGACGTAGGGGGGCCGGCCTATGCCCTGAGTTTAGGGTTTGGGGGCTTCAGTCTCAGCTGGGCGTCGGGCGCGGTCAAGGGGGCCGCCAGTTCAAGGTTTAGGAGCACGACTCGGGGTCGACGGCTTAGTTAGAAGGGGTTACT